TGCGCGCCACCCCCCAGGTACGGTCCGGGCTGCGGGGGGTACGGGGTGCTGGGGTGCTCCCGGTGCTGAGGTACCTGGGTACCGGCGATGTGGGGTGTCCCTGGGGTGCCCGGGGTACCGGGGAGTGGGGTGTCCCGGGGTACCTGTGTTGCCCACACGGTGGGCACGGGTCTACTTTAGGGAGCTTCCCTCCCTGTTTTGGGGAAGGTGCCCTAAGGGGCTCGCACACCCCCATCTCCTGCCCGCTTGTCAGCTCCCTACAAAATTCATCGTGCTTCGGTGACCTAGATTCTGTGCCATCAACATGTGGCTGCATCCCCTCCAGGGCTGTCCCCTCCGGACCTCACTGGCCGTGGCTCCCCGGAGAGCTGTGCCTGAGCTCATGGCCCTCAGCACCCGTGGCCCTGGGTTGACAACTGTGTAGCGTGACCATGATCCCTCGTCAAGGTCATGCTACTATAACCCGGAGATAACCAGGTTCACACGGTGATAACCGCCTGTGCTCTGCTCCCTTCCTCTGCCTGGTTTGCACCAGGGCAGAGGGACAATAGCTCCGAGATGGGAGCATCCCTTGGGACTTGTGCCTGCTCACCTTGAGCGGTGGCAGCTCCCTGGATGGTCAGATGGGTTTGAGGCTCGGGTCCCTGCATGTGTGGGAATGCACATGCCAGGCAGTAGAGGAGCCTGGTGCTCCTGGGGACAGTGGCACCGAGGCAGATGCATGGATCTGCATCCTGAGTTTTGTGCAGATGGTTTCCTTTGGGCCAGTCATGAGCACATGTATCCATCCTGGATAGACACGAAGGGAAGTGGGGAGCATCTGCTTCCAAAAAATGTTTGGAGCAGAGAGTGGAAAACAGCCCCCTGGGGTCCCAGCATACATGGCGAGGGGCTGCCTCGCAGAGGTGATGATCGCTCACATCCACAGCCCGACGTGGAGACAAGCGGGTAATGGGGCATAGTCCAGGCAGTCACGGCTGGCAGGGGTCCAGGGCAGGCATGGCACAGTGCTTGGGTGGGTGTTGGGGGGGGGGCTGTAGCACTTGCCCCTTGCCCTTCCTGGCACAGTGGGAGGGCTGTGGAGCTCCATCCAGCACTCAAACCGGCACCAGGTCTGGGCAATAGCTGGCTGGCAGTGAGTGAGCCCTGAATCCCTGCCTCCTTTCCCAGGGACCTATTTGAGAGGTACGAGCCGTTTATCCAGCTGTGAGCTCCAGGATGTGTGTGTTCTGGCGATGCTCAGGCACCAGTGCTGAAATCCCATAGGATTGCCCCATTTGCCGCCTGTGTTATCAGGGGCTGGGAGGGGGTTCTTCAGAGGTGAGCCGCCCAGCCTCGCCACGCAGAATGGGGGGATGTGGGGGGCACGAACTGGGACCATGGACTTCTTTTTTATTGACCGTGATTTGGTGTTCTGCAATTAGCAGGATAATCAGGTTTCTAGACCTTGCTCCTGCAGCCTGGATTGGCACACGTGGATTTTTATGGCTCGAAAAGCGCCGTCCGTGACTTATGGGAGTGAGGAGCACTGAGAGGACGCCTGGGCCAGGCCTTATTCCTTCCTGCCCTCATCCCGTGACTGCTAATCGGGCCTCCCCGGCGCTGCCAGGTTTCCTATGTCCAAACCTCAGGATTTGAGCATTTAATCCCCCTCTGGACCATGAACCTCATGGCATTTTTCATTTTCCCCAGGCTGGGCGATGCCACCTGAACATCGTGTCCTGCTGGGGGAGAGCCGAAGGGCAGTCACTTGCCTGTGGCTCAGCTAAAGTCCTGCCAAGCACCCAACTAATGTATAACATGAGCGGCCCTGCACCCAGTGTGCACATTAACTCGCTTTCACAACCAGTGCAGTCCCCGCAACCGCTGCCATCTTCTCCGGAGCATCCTTGGCACAGGGCGCCTGCATCCCTCTGCCTCCGGGTCTGCAGCACAGCGACTTGGTTCAGAGGGAAGTGTCACTTCTGGGAGGGGTTAAAACCCCACTGACTCTTAAAAGGGAGAAAAAGGAGGTGGTGGGAGCCCAGGATGCCCTGCCGCAGAGCTGGGTGCTTCATGCATCCAGGCTCTTTCACACATGGGATTTACAAATGCCGCCCTAAATGGGCCCCCCCAGCTTTTGCACAGTGAGACATGCAGCTGCTTTTCTTCTTGCAAGAACATCTCCTGGGGAGAAGGTAGTGGTATTTATTTGCCTTGCGATTATGGAGGAATTTGAGCCTGTGCCAAATGCTGCTTTCTCCCCAGAAACCGCAGCGACGTGGCTTTCAATGCATTGGAAAGCGCCTGCGGCCGGAGAGGGGCTGCCTGGCCTGGCAAAGCCCATCTAGCTGACAGTCCTTGGGATAACGCCACTGTCCTGCTGCAGAGCCAGCGGAGCCATGCCTAAGAAGGATGACGACACCAAAAAGCCAGCGTCGGAGACGGTACCAGACCAGCGCTGGAAACTACAGGTCTTCTACCTCTGCTTCTATGGCTTCATGACGCAGGTCCGGCCTGGGGAGAGCTTCATCACCCCGTATCTCCTGGGGCCTGACAAGAACTTCACACAGGCAGAGGTGAGCCGCGAGCAGCCTGTCCCCCCTGATGTCCCCCTTTCTGGACACGGTCACCACCCCAGGGCTGGTCAGAGCATCCTTCTGCAGTCCTGGGGTGTGGAGGGGTGCAGGCGTGCCATGTCCTGAGCGTGTAGTGATGCACGGGATGCTTTTTGGTGGGGAGAAGGTGGTGTGGTATGGGTCTAGCTGGCAGCATGTGCCTGTCTCAGTGGGCTGCATGGTCACTCTGTTTCTTAAGGCCCAGGCTCAGCTTTTCCTGACATAAGACCTTGTGCCCACGTTGGCAACCAATTTGGGGGGGCTATGCCTGACCCCTGCCCAGTTGGGCAGTCAGTGGGATGGTGGGGGGGTGCCGAGCCAGGAGAAGACTCATCCCATCCTACCCACACTGGCATGATGCAGTGGGGAGCACAGGGCTGTGCACTGCCAGGCTGCTGGCAACGATGGGGTTAGGTGAGGAGGGGCCACATGTTGTTGTCCCCAAGAAAGGGACGCTGGCCTTAGTCCCGGCAGGCTGTTGTGTCCGTGGGAACGCTGCATTCCCAGCACGGGAGGGGGCCGAGGCTGAGCCAGGCCCCCATCCGAGCGCACCACAGGCCACATTCCTCCCCGAGGAAGTGCCACGATGGGGGTGAGCAGCTGGTGCCCACCCAAACTGTGTTCCTCCAGGCTGGGGGCAGCCCCAGGGACATGTCCTGTGCTCAGCCCCTCCTTGCATGCATGGCAGGTGACCAACATGATCACGCCAGTGCTGACCTACTCCTACATGGCCGTGCTGGTGCCCATCTTCCTGCTGACAGACTACCTGCGCTACAAGCCGGTACTGGTGCTGCAGAGCCTGAGCCACATCTCCATCTGGCTGCTGCTGGTGTTGGGCACCTCGGTCCTGGCCATGCAGCTGATGGAGTACTTCTACGGTGTCACCATGGCCACCCGCATCGCCTACTCCTCCTACATCTTCTCCCTCGTGACCCCATCACACTACCAGCGTATGGCCAGCTACTCCCGCTCCGCTGTCCTCCTGGGTGTCTTCACCAGCTCAGTGCTGGGCCAGCTCTGCATCACCTTGGGTGGTGTCTCCTTCCTCACCCTCAACTATGTCTCGTTGGGCTTCGTCAGCTTCGGCCTCATCCTCACCATTTTCCTCGAGCAGCCCCAGCGCAGTCTCTTTTTCAACCGGCCTGAGGGGGCTGGTGATGGGGCTGTGCCCACTGAGCTGGACAAGATGGCGAGGGGAGACGTCCAAGGGGGGACGCAGGGCTGGCGGGAGGCAGCGCTGTGCCGCATGCTGCGGGAGGTGGGAGCATTAGCCAGGCAGCCCCAGCTCCAGCTCTGGTCCTTGTGGTGGGTCTTCAACTCAGCCGGTTACTACTTGATGCTGTACTACGTGCAGATCCTCTGGAACGAGATCTACCCCTCCACGGACAACCGCCAGGTGCACAACGGAGGGGTGGACGCTGCCTCCACGCTGCTGGGTAGGCTTGCCTGGGCTGGGAACACCATGGATGCAGGGGGACACCCCCGTCCCGCTGCATCCCCTGGGAATGGCTGGGGACACTGGGGATGCAGGGGGACAACCCCATCCTGCTGCGTCCCTGGGAGTGGTGGTCCTCGTGACATTTTTGGGGATGCAGGGGGAGTTTTGGCAGTGGAGATGAGATGAGAGATGACATGAGATGACATGAGCATTGCTAGGCTGGGGGATGCAAGGTGTTTCCATGCTGGTGAGGTGTTCACATCCTTCATCTCCTCCCCAGGGGCTGGTGCCTCCTTCGCTGCTGGCTACGTGAAGATTCGCTGGACGTTGTGGTCAGAGCTGGTGATTGGGGTGGTGACAGCTTTCCAGGCGGGGCTGCTCCTGCTCATGAACACTACCAGCAACATCTGGCTGTGCTATGCTGCCTACGTCCTCTTCCGTGGTTCCTACCAGTTCCTGGTGCCTGTTGCCATGTGTGTTGTACCCCTGGGGACCTGCTCCCACCTCAGCAGCTGGGCTGGTACCAGGGGTTCACTGGTGGCCTCTTTCCCAGTTTCCAGATCGCTACCTCCCTCTCCAAAGAGCATTGTGCGCTGGTCTTCGGGGTCAACACCTTCTTCGCCACCGTTCTGAAGACCATCATCACCGTCATCGTGGCTGACAAGAGGGGCTTGGGCTTGTCTGTGCATCCCCAGGTAGGGATGGGGGGCATTTAGGTTGGAGGCGGTCCCCTAATGTTGTGGGATGAAGCAGAGACTGCAAGTGTTCGCTCTCTCCACTCTCTTGCAGTTTTATGTGTATTTCGGCTACTTCACGCTGCTGGCGGTTGTCTACCTGCTGTTGGCCGTCGGCGTGGGCATTCGGTACAGTCGCCGCAAGCAGGCGGCAGAGCTGGCCTTGGCCAAGGAGCTGTGCCAGCTCCCTGCTGAGGTGCCAGCACAGAAGAGCACGGAGGCAGGTGCTGTGCAAGCCTGAGCACCGGCACCATGACCACTGTGGCCAGGTCTCAGCTCCATAAGTGAACGTTAGCATCACTGCGTGCGTAGTCTCCTGTCCCACTGCCGGTCCTTGGCACTGGCCTGTTGAGGACACAACCCCTTAGGACCAGTTTTCTGCTTTATGAGGGCTGGGCTGTGCCCCCCACCTCAGCCCCAGATACAACCAGAGCGGGGCAGGATGCCCATGGCTGCTGCTGCCAGGTACCACACAGGGATAGAGATGGGGTCCGGGGTGTCTCTTGGCCCCCAGCTCCCCATCATGGTGCAGAGCCAGGCTACAAGAGGACAACATTTCTTTATTCAGTGCCTTTAGAAAATGGTTTATAGGACACAACTGACAAAAAAAAAAAAAAAATAATTACACAAAATACAGTAGACTGTAAGAAATAGAGACCATGTGACTCGCACAGCTTTTATGGTAATAATTTCCATACAATAATAAAAAGCTAGTTACAGATTTATCTTCTCTTTTTTGTTTTTTAGCACCTTGGATTTGCCCACACCAATTCAAACCAGCTTTGCTGTGCCTTGGCCCTTATTGTGCAGCAAAGGTGGCACGGGGAGGGGGGCGATGGCGGTGCCTGCCCTCGGTACCACTTGTGCTCAACACGCACACGTATGTAAACACATGCCAAGCGCATGCCTGCCCCGTGTCAGAGCCACCCCATCACCCCAGTCCCTGCGCTCACCTGGGTGTAGCTGTCCCTGGGGTGTGGGGGAATGGCCTGGGGTCCCGAGGGTGTGCGGAGGGGCTGAAGGGACCAGACCCTCCCCAGGGTTCATGAGATGCTGGCTGTGAGGCAGAGGTGAAGATGATGATGGGGGACTGGGTGGGATGGTCCTTACCTGGGGAGGACGGAGACCATCTAAGGAGAGCCCTGGCACCACCATGGGACGGTCCCTTGCTGGGGTGGGATGCCAGGGTTTTGGCTGGGAGAAGACCCCGTGGCCCTCAGCAGTGGGGATTTGGGTCCAAACCCGAGCTCCTAGCGAGGACAGTGCGGGGCTGGGTGCGGGGTCGGAGAATCCCCTGCAGGCTTTCCAGGAGGGCAGATTGCATGGCAACGCAAAAATCTCCCAGCCGAGTATCCTCCCACCCAGCCACCCTGAAAAGACCATCTGAGCAGGTGGGGGGATGCAAGCTGAAGTGGTTAAATATTAGGAGTTAGAAGAGAATTGGAGCAAGAGTAGGAGGAGGAATGCAGCTAGCCCATGGCTGCCCTGCCCCAGGTGGGATAAGAGCCCCTGCCAACCCAGGGCAGGGGTGATGGTGATACTCTTTGGCTTCAGGTCTGCAGGAGAAGAAAACCCTGCGGGGCGAGGGCAGGTGCATGGGGAGGGCTGAAGACCGCAGGGATGCCAGGCTACAGGCTGGCTCTGGCTCGACATTCCCTGGGGACATGGGGTATCCAGGGGTGGGAGGGTGTCACTTTTTGGCGGCAGTCATGAAGCTGTTCTCGATGCAGAGGACGATGAAGGCGTGCTGGCAGCTGCTGGCCACCTGCTCCAACAGCTTGCCAGAGCCCAGTGAGGAAGCCTGGCCGGTGACGGCATGCTCCTCTGTCCGCCACGTCTCGCAGTAGCTTTCGGGCAAGCGCCGGCCCTTGGTATCTGAGCCGTGCCAGACACTCTTCTGCGGCCTGGAAAGAGGAAAGGTGGGGTTCTGTCGCTGCCCCCAACAGTCCAGACCCCATCTCCCCTCCTTCCCCATCACTAGATCCTGCACTCACCATCCGGCATCCCGCAGGACATCCCGGCCATCAAAGGAGAGGATGTGGGCACCGGCTCGCAGTGGGGCTCCGGTGCCCGTGAAAAGGGCTTCCCAGTTACTGAAGAGCACTTCATCCTGGTAAGGTGGGGTGGAAAAAGAGGAGGGGGGTGTCTGTCAGCCCTGCTTGCACCCCAAGAGCATCACAGGAACTCTGAGCCCCAGCTGCCTCTGGGGAGGGGACGCTTCACAGGCAATGCCATGTGGATGGATGGGGGATGCTCTGCAGCCCTCAGAGCTCACGAGGTGTCAGAAAGAGGATGGAGATATGCATGTACCCGGAGGTTGACGATGGGCACGGTGGCACGGTCAGCCCTGCGCACGATGCTGTAGAGGTCCTGCAGGCGGGAGGAGAGGAAGGCACGGAAGGTGCCAGCCAGCCCGACCTGCCGGGCTTGCTGGAAGCACTGGAAATCGGCACCCCGAATGCCGCGCATTCCACCACTTAGCGGAGCGTTCAGGGCCACCAGGTGAAGCTGCCAAGGAAGGGACAACAGGGCTTGAGGGACATGACTTTGACCACCATCGTCACCTCCCCTCAGCTGGCATGTGGCACTCACAGCAGGCTGGAAGTCCTGGTGCACGTGGGCAGCCACAGGGGCTGGATCTGGCCGGTGGTGGATGTAGTAGCTATTAAGGAGCTCATGCTGGTGATGAAGCAGGGGTTGCTCGGGCAGGCGATGCTGGTTGGCCACCACTTCATCCCCACGCCAGGGCCGGGCAGTGGGTGGGGGGTTGTGGTTGCGGAGGGGGTGGAGGGGTCCGCGGGGCTGGAGTGGGGGCTGGGGGCCAGCATAGTGGACGCTGGGTGGTTTGTCGTACACCTCATTGTCCTGAGGAGGGAGGGGGAGAAAGGCTGAGTGTTGGTGCTGCCCAAGTGCAGACCGGGATGATGATGATGAAAATGGGGATGGAGATGGTTGGGGATAGGGATGGACATGATTGTAGGTGGGGATGGAGATGGGGATGGAGAAGGTTGGGGGTGGATGGAAATAGGGATGGAGATGGTTGATTATATGGATGGATATGGGGATGGAGAAGGTTGGGATTGGGATGGCTGGGGATGGGATGAGGATGGAGGATGGAGATAGGGATGAGGATGGGCATGGGGGACAGAGAACTCACCAGAGCTGAATTGGGGATCAGAGTGTGTTCCTCCAGCTGCAACAGCATGACACATCATATCCCAGCTGTCCCCCTCTCCTGTTCCTCACACATGAGTGGAGGGACCCCCAAGCATTGCCAAAAGACACCATAGGGCGGTACAGTCTGTACTCCCCTAGGGCCAGGCAGTGCAACCCAAGATGGGGGGCCCCTCCAGCCCCCTCCCACTCACCAGCACTCGTCGGAAACCCCCACGCAGTCGGACATAGAGCTCTTGCCGGTCGGTCAGGAAGACGAGGTTGCCCTCAGGCAGCTCATGCACAGCACTCAGCATCACCTGGTACGTTGGCAGGGTGCGCAGCTACGGGGCAGAGCCCGGAGGATGGCTCAGGGCTTGGCCAGCCAGCCCATGGGCAACCCCCTATCCAGAGCCCTGACTCACCCCCAAGGACATCCCACTGGTGCCTGGTGGTCCAGGGGGTCCCGGTGGTCCAGGGGGTCCAGGAATGCTGATAGCTGGGAGGGTGAGAAGGGTGAGATGGGGTCGGCTGCAGCATGCAGAGGGATATGATGGTGGGTGCAGGGAGTGATGTAAGGGTGACAGGGAGGGATGCAATGGGGCAGGTACTCACCTTGTCTGTGGGGACCTGGGAAGGAGGGTGGACCAGGGGGGCCGGGAGGGCCAGGAGGGCCCTGCCGCCCCTCATATCCGATACCAGGGGGGCCCTGAGGTCCAGGAGGCCCTGGTGGCCCAACAATACTGTCCCCCTTGGGACCCTAGGCAGTTCAAGAGAGCATCCCTGGAGCAAAGCACCTTGGGGATGCTGCCCCTCCCATGCCCCCCCCCTCGCCCCTGTGCCATGGGGTACTCACCGGCAGCCCGGGGTAGCCCTGGGGCCCTGGAGGCCCTGGCAGCCCAGAGACGCTGGGACCGTAGAGCGGAGTGCTGCCCGGCTCACCCTTCTCACCCTTGGGACCTGCATCCCCCTTGTCACCCTGCGGGATGGCACAGCCTTAGAGTGAATGGCTGGGGCACACCCAAGTACCCCAAATCATGCTGGGTACCAGCCCTGTGAGCCGCCACTGGGGGGAAAAGGGCTTACCCGCAGGTTGGCACTGAAGTGACTCGGGTCATAGGGGAAGTGGCCTGTGGAGAGGGAAAGGAGGGGAGAGGAGAGCTGGGATGGGCACGAGCCACCTCCGCCTGTACCTGCCTGTGGGGACCAGTCACCTACCTGGGGGTCCTGGGGCTCCAGCATCGCCTTTCTCTCCCTTTTGTCCTGGAAACTGGTGGAAACCTATGGGGAGCAGCAGAGAGATGCCATCTCAGTGCTGCAGCATTCTAGCCCCAGCTCTAATGGAGGGGGTCTCCCCACCCTGCCCTGCCTTGCTGAGTGTCCCTGAACTGCTCTGAGGCAGCTGTGAGTGAGGCACCCCCTTACCAGGGAAGGCTGGCAGCACAGGATGGCTGGAGTCGCTGAAGGCCTGTGGGGATGCAAAGGAAGTGGCTGCAGAGAGAGTGGCTGCATCCTCAGGCATCCCTCCCTCAATGTGATGCTGATGGTAGCCCCACATGCCAGTCCTGGCCAGGATGCCACCAGAACACCTTCCATCCCCTCCAGCCAGGCAGGGGGCACTGAGGGAGGCACTCTGTCACCAGCCCTTAGCACCCACATCACAGTAACCGTGTTGTTACTCACATTGCTGCTGTCGTATACTATGCTGCCAGGTGGCCCAGGGGGCCCAGGGGGCCCTGGGGGTCCTGGGGGACCCTACGGGGGGGAGAGAAGATGTGTCAGGGAAAGTGGACAGTTCCCATGGGGGACACACTGAGACCATGCCCTGCCCCAGAGGGGCAATCAGTCCCTGAAAGAGGGAGGCATATGCCCTTTGCCAAAGGGATTCGGGTCTCCAGGGAGACCCTCAGTGTGTGTCCCCTACTCTGACAGACCAGCAGCCACAGGGGCTGCAACAGTACTCACCCGCAAGCCCAGCACGCTACTGACATCCACAGGGTCACCCTTGTCTCCCTTCAGCCCATTCATACCAGGACGTCCCTACGGATGAACAGCACAGATGAGCCTCATCCCTGTCTCCCTGCCAACCCCAGGGTGACATCCTGGCGTCATTTCTGATGCCCTGGAGTCACCTCAAACACCCTGGCATTGCCTCCAACATGTTGGCATCACCCCACCCCTTGGGGACACAATAGGGTTTGGGGTTCAACAGGTGCAAGTCGTGCAAATGGGGTGGGGGGATGTGGTGAAGGAGGCGATGGCTGAGGGGACAAACAAACCGGGAGCAGGTCTTACGGGTCTGCCTGGAAAGCCGATCTCTCCCTTCATCCCTGCTCGTCCCTGGGGACCCTAAAGAGGAGAGAAGAGAATGATTGTGCTCGGAGTGGGAGCATATCCTCTACCCTGGATCAGTCCTGGCCCTCCCCATGGGCTCTGAGGACTATGGTGCTGGTGACTTACCGAGGGTCCCACTGGTCCCCGCAGCCCCGGCTCCCCCTGCGGACAGCAGAGAGGGAAAGAGCATCACCACTGGGACCACCTGGCACCTGTCACATAGGGATGCATC